TGAACTTGTACAAACACATCTGAATTATGCCAGTGAACTACTGAAATACTTTGTTGCAAAAGCTAGTGAGCTTTATGGTTAGGAATTTATTGTGTATAATGTACAGTCTTCTTCACTTGACTGAAGATGTTGCTGTGCATGAAAGCGATGTATTCCTGCAGAGTGTTTGAACACTCAGAGCGTATGTTTGTTTCACCCTGTGACTCGAGAATTGTTGGAGTGCACAAAGTTCGTGGAAGAAATGCTCACATGAAATTGCTGCCTGAGAGTGCCTTGAGAAGCAAGGCAATCTTCATTAAACTTGAAAATGACTGCTGTCTTCTTGGCAATTTTACATTAACTTTAAGCTCTGCAGTTCCAATATGTCTTACAAGAGAAGTTAAAACAAATTTGGTAAATATATACATATATATGTTTAGCGAAGCTAGTCATCTTTACCATGTTTTTCTTAATCCATTAATCACCAGTACTCTACCACTGACAAGTAAAATCGTCTGGTGTTAGACAGAGTAAACACTAAATTAGGGTGTGTTGCCCGCTATTAGATTAACAAGAGACATGGGCAGATAGGTCTGTTAACCCCCATTAACCACTAGTACTCTACCACTGACTAGTTAAATCATCTGGCGTTAGACAGAGTAAACACTAAAGTAGGAAGCATTCGGACACATTGCCTGCTAATCGGTTAAACTGGGTTAGTCAAGAAACTATAATGTGTGTATATTATCTTTTACTGTAGGTGACCAAGTTTGCCATTGTCAAATTTACAAATGAGCATTCAGTTAATTTTCTACCAGAGACCTGGATTGAGACACAAGTTAGCGCGAGTGTTATCCTTTTGTAACTTTTGGCTGTAAAAACAATTTCCTTTACTTTGGAGAAATTCCAAGCAAATTCCCACCAGGTAATTTATTGTTATTGGCCTCGAAATAATGTTGGAATTTGTGTAAAAAAATGGAAATGCCTGATAAACAGAAATGGTCATTACATCGAGTTAGAATCCTTAGCTATGCAGGTACATGATAAACCTTTGTAGTTTTGGGGTGATGTGATATTGAAATAAAAGTGATATAATATAATATAATATAATATAATATAATATATAATATATAATATATAATATATAATATATAATATATAATATATAACATATAACATATAACATATAATATATAACATATAACATATAATATATAATATATAATATATATGATATGATATAATATAATATAATATAATATAATATAATATAATATAATATAATATAATATAATATAATATAATATAATATAATATAATATAATATAATATAATATAATATAATATAAAATATCAATTTGATATGAGATTGATAAGTATTGAAATGATGGTAAAACTATTGCACTGATTTCCAAGTGGATTTTAGCTTGCAATAGACTGCTCTGACACACTTCATTTCCACTTGGCATGTTTTGTTGGACTGTGCTTGCCACCAGGTGATCTGTATGTGTGCATATGTTTGCAAGAATAACTTGTTGCAAATATGGTTCCAATATTTCTTAATATTTTATGTTACAAGTGTGTAAGGTAGTCCTTTGTTTGTTATCAGGTAGCTACAAAGGCAGTTCAGCATACAAAACAAGCCGAGGAAACATCAACCTTTTCAGATGATGACTCTAATTCCGATCCTAAGGCTAGTGAATCATCAAAAAAGGCACAGAAGAGCATAGGTTATGCTGAAGATGAAGGTATTGTACGGTAGCATAAATAATTAAGAAGTTCCAAGAAGACAATTTATTAGCATTTATAGTTTACATGATATAATTAGAATATCCAATTCTAACTACTTATTAACCGAGCACAAGATCTGTACCGGAAAGTATTTGCCTGAGGTTTTTGTACAGACCTAGGAGCAAGTAGTAGGAGCGAGGTCTGTGCAAATAATTTCCCATACAGCCCGAGCAAACAAGGTTAATAAGGAGTTTATTATATGGCTCATTGACATCATTTTCATATTTGTTTGAGGGCTACATTTTGCTCACTACGTTCTCCATTTAAATTTGGTTTTTACCGAAATATTGTTCATGAAAACGTACGTTTAACACTAGTTTTTCAGTGAAAACAGGAAAAAAATTGCTTATAATACCAATTTCTTTTTTAAAAAGTCTTAAAATGTCAAAATGATTTATGAAAAACTTTTTATTTTCCTATCTAACTCATTAAAATCGAGTGACCGCATGATAAATCCAGGAGTTTCACCTCTATATGTATGTTTACTCTGTGGTATACTTCCTCTACTAGGGAACCAATCAGATTGCAGCATTGTGACTGGGTTTGATTTAGAAGAAATTGGACTTTCTCGTTCCTGTACAGTAACCTTGATAGTGATTTAAAGTATTATACAATAGGAAATACTGTGCATAATATTACTCATATGTTGAAATGTATTACTCTTTGTATTTTATAATTGTGTGACAAAAACACCATCACAGTTGCAACATGCTGTTACCCCTCGTAAAAAAACAAGTAAACTTATAAATAGGAAACAACATCCTGCCAGCAGTGTATTTCTACCACTTGCGCCAGTCTTTGCCACAACCATCAATGCAACATTGAGGCCTTCAGTTAGTTTTAGTGGTATGTATTATTTGTAATGTATTACACAAGATTTTTATTTAATACCTTAATCTCACAATTTGTTTACATAATTTCTAGGTCATGCAAGCAGACCTTTTATACCTGAACAATTACCCACCTCCAGTCCTTTCACAGCCATCATGCAGCCAAAGTCCCAGGTTCATAACGTTGGAACTAATTGGTGACTCTTTAATTAAGGGCCTTGGACAGATCTCCAAATGATTTGGCAATTAATGAAGGTAATGTATATTATCTGAGTAATCTGACTATTTGTAATGTTGACCGAGTGTTGCAATCTGTGTTTATCCTCATTTAATGCATATTTTCATTGTTTTGAACAGGTTCTTATTTTTAATAAGCGACTACAACGGTCAGTAGCAAGTCATTATTGCGGTCAATCAGGTGGAACTGGAGGTCATTATTCTTAAAATAATAACCTCCTTTTCTGTCTCAATGACCCTCACTGATTTTCATACATATGTTTTATTGCTTTTAATTACACTACAACAATCACATTTATTACAATGTTTCTTCAGGTACCTCACTATTACTCATTTATGATTCAACAATGTTTACAAGCTTTTTTCCAATTATAATGTTACAATTTCCTCCACAAATATTTGAAACAATTGACCCAATAGCATTTGGATTTTCCTGGATCACTAAGCTATCTTCCTTTTCCTTACTTTTACAACATTCGACACCTTGAACTATTTTTGACACTTCAACATGTTGCTTATCAGTTTCTTGTTTATAGCTATTCAGAGCTTCTGATCTATGCCTGGTAACACCTCTAATTAATTTGTCGTCTACACCTTCCTGAAATAATCTGGAGACAGTAGTCGCTCGCAAGGAATGATTTGTAAAATAACCTTTTACACTTGCCTTACTCATCATGCATTTGATCATAGAATTCAGCTTATTGTGACCTAAAGGCATCCCTGAAAACCGACTGAACATCTGCAACATTCATGCATTCGAAGCCCTCAAAATAAAAATTATTCATAGTTTACCATACGAAGAACGCAAAATACTGAAGTGATTTCACTGTTGAACTTGTAATACACTAAAATACAATCAACTCAATTTGCATTAAGAATTCTTTGTTCTAAAACAATGAAAATATGCATTAAATTGGGTAATGCACGAACTCCGAGCTCGGCCTTCTTAAATACAATGACCTTGCGCTTCTCGCTCGGTCATTATTTTTAAGAAGGCCTCGGAGCTCATGCATTATCCTATATATAGAAGAGTGGACTAAAATGAAGAGTATCGACTAAAAGCTCAAATATAATAATATATCATTAAGTTTTGTACTGGTGCTCATACAATTGTCAAAAATGCACATGAAAGCACCAATATGCTATATGTACTGTTCAGCAGTAATTTGTGTGAAAGTATCCAAAATATTGCTGCATAAATATATCTGAAGTGTCACACTTTTGCTCTTAAACTCTCAAGAAAATATTTGAAATGGCTGCCCAAAGGAGTGATAAATTTGGAAATGATAAAAATATGGCTTTTCTAAGAAGTGCTGAATTGTGAAGACAATTTTGGGGATCTCTGGCAAGAGTTTATATTCAAATGAGTTTAATAAATTTAATAGAAAAGTGCTGCGACTCAAATGGCGGATTAAAAGTGGATCAGAACAAGCTTAAAGCTTCCGGTTTGATTAGCTAAGAGAAAGGCGGACGTCTGCGAAGACGTCACATGTGCCAAGGAAGGTTATTAAAGTCTATGACTCATTGCTTAACTAGTTCGCCCCACAACAGCATTAGCCAATGAGATAGTGTTTTCTTTAATTTATTTGTCTACGTGTGAAGTATATAAGCTGAAATTCATTTCAGTAGCGTCATTCGAAATTTCGAAACATTCGCAATGTCAGGAAGAAGCACAGTATGGATTTTTTTCAAAATCACAGAAGAGGTGAGAGACAGTGCTGTCTGTCAAGTTTGCTCGCAGGCCATCAAGAAGAGGATGAGCAATACATCGAACCTGCTGAGGCATCTTCCGAAAAAACATCCAGTTCAGTACGCCACTATCAATCCGAAAAAGAGCAACACTGGTTCATGTGTTTCCGGAGAGAAAACATCGGTACGGCAGACATCGGTATAGCCATCAGACAATTACCGATGCAATTACACACTTTTTGTTCAAAAACAACATTCCTTTCAACACTGTCAACAGACCCGGTTTTCAGCATTTACTGAATGTCTTGGAGCCACGATACCAAGTTCCCAACAAGACCACGAGAGAATCCGTGATGGCAGGTTTGAACGACATCGAATTTTTTCCTTTCACGGCAGACATGTGGTCTTCCCATGGCCTCACTCCTTACATGGGACTCACGCTGCACTGGGTAGATAGCGAGTGAAATTAAGAAGCAGACATCTTGGCATTATTATAACATTGCCCATAGTATGAATGATATGTTGTTGCACTGGAAGTTGGATGAATTAAATCAAGTCGCCATCACTACAGACAACGGAGCAAATATTAAAAAAGCCTGCAGAGATAATAACTGGTTGAACGTTCCATGTTTCGGTCACAATCTTCATCTGGCAATAACAAATACCTTGTCAAAAAAAACGAGAGTAAGTCATGCACTGGGCATTTGCAAGAAAGTTGTTGCTGCATTTGGAACAAGTTGGAAGAGACGCAGAAATCTAGAAGCTGCACAAGTTCAAGAAGAACCTGGAAAAAAAGTAAAGAAATTGGCATTGGTAAGTTTGTCTTTGTCATAATAACAGGTTGTACACGATTTGCGTACTACAGTTTTAACAATGTTGCCATGACAGGCATGACTTACCAGTTACCACAAAACATGGTAACATTACATGTTTGACGTTTTCTTTATAGGAATGTCCAACACAATGGGGCTCCACCCTCCACATGATCAGCTGTGTTTTGGCGAATAAGAAGGCGATTAGAAGGGTCCTGGGAAACGATAAAGATACATCCCACCTAGTACCATCATGGCAAGATCTCGAGGTTTTGGAGTGTATCGACAACACACTGTCTCCTCTGAAGGCATTTACCGATATCTTGTCAGCAAGCATGTGACTATCAGTGCGCTGAAGCCTATTCTCCACCGATTGTCTACCGTCGAATTGGCCGGCCAAGATAGTGACCCCCCGTTAGCATGTCAACTGAAATGAGAAATTCTGCGCCGTTTAAAGTCAAGATATGTGGCAGAAGATCTGAAAGTTTTGATGGATGTGACCTCATTCATTGACCCGAGATACATCACAGATTTCCTCACAACAACAGACGAAGCTGAGCAGTCAGAACTTAACGTGGTTCAAGAGAGACTCCTTGAGCAAGCTGTTTTCTTCAACACAAAGAAGCGATGATTATACAACTCCAGAACTGTCAGCAAAGAAAATGAAGTTGAGCCTCGGAGCACTCACAAGTTTGAAAAAGCCAAAAGAACGTCCTTCCGCAGCCCAGTCACCATGCAATCGTTTGTCTGCGGAAATCGAACATTACATTAAATATCTTGTTATTGACGGCGATGAATATCCATTGAAGTGGTGGCAACGCAATGAAGAACTTCCACTTTTAAGCCAACTTACCAAAAGGTATTTGGCCATTCAAGCCTCTAGTTCCCTGTCGGAACATCTTTTTAGTAAGGCACAACTTGTCAGCATGCCCGCACGTGCACAGTTAAAACCGGAAAAGGTTGACATGCTCGTTTTCTTGGCGGAAAACTTGTAAACAAGTTTGAGCATTTGTAAATAATTAAAGTCTATTTTTTTATATAAATATATTTAAGATAACACACAAGACATGTTGTTTATTTTTGTCAAAATAATTTCATTGATTAAAAGAGTCGGTTATCTCAGTTATTTTGTGACAATTCTCGGTTTCGGTTATTTTACGAAACCGCATCA